AATATATTAATATATATAATATATATAATAAATATAAATTATATATATTATATATATTATATATATATTATTCTCCCTCCTTTTCTCCTTAAGGAGAATAAACACACGCAAAAAGTCTCTCTTTTATTTTCTTTTTATTTCTTCTCTTTTATTTACTGACGGAGAGGCAAAATTATTCTCCCTCTTTCCTTTGGGGCCCTTATGCATGCATACATAGGTGGCGGGATGCATGCATAGGTGTATGCATGCATGCATACGTGTATGCATGCATGTATAGGTGTATGCATGTATGCATAGATGTAGGCATTTATGCATGCATGCGTTGGTGTATGTATGCATGCATGCACTGGTGTATGTATGCATGTATGCATGGGTTTATGCATGCATGCGTGCATGCATTAGATGGATGCATGCGAAGGTGCATGCATGCAAATGTGGATGCATGCGAAGGTTCAATTGCATGCATGCATATATGCATGCATGCGTAGATGCATGTACTGTATGTGTGTATGCATGCTGCTGCATGCAAGCATGCATGCATGCATGCATGCATGCTTGCAGCGGCATAAGCAGACGTGTGCAGCGTATGCACACACGGCAGATCTATCGAGTTGAGTTTGCTGCTGCATGCAGCAGCATGCAGCAGCAAATCTGAGCTGTACGTACACCTGGCTTGCTGCTTCTGCATGCAGTTGCATGCAGTTGCATGCAGTTGAATGCAGTTGTGTGTATTTAGAGTTATTATTCTCTTATAAGGGGGCATCTTATGGGGCTGCTGCTCTTGTTTTGTGTCTGTGGCAGCAGCAGCAGAGCAGCAGAGCAGCAGCAGCAACAGCAGCAGCATAGCAGCAAAGAGAGAGCGAGAGCTAGATAGCGTCTATATAACGTGATGATGATGTACGGACTTGTTGTGATGTTGCTGCTGCTGTTGCTGCAGCTGCTGCTGCAGCAGCAGCTGCTGCCCTACGGCACTGTCCCCTGTCTGCTTAGAACTTGACGTTCTTTTCTGCTGCGTTCAACTTGGCGTTTTAAAACATTTTTAGCAGCAGCAGCAGCAGCAGCAGCAGCAGCAGCAGCAGCAGCAGCAAATAGAAGCAACAGCACCAACAGCAGCAGCAGCTAGATACACAGCAGCAGCAGCAGTAGCAACAGCACGACCTACATAGCAGCAGCAGCAGCAGTAGCAACAGCACGACCTACATAGCAGCAGCAGCAGCACGAAATAGTCAGCACTACGGCAACTATATTCGCAACATTCCTTAATTCCTAGCGGTTCGTTTTGCTGCTGCTGCGGCAGCAGCAGCAGCAGTAGCAGCAGCAGCCCTGCTGCTGCGGGGGGTAGTTGTGTGTGCCATGAGGAAGCAGCGGAGCTCATTGAGGCCTAACAGCCTCTTTGCAGATACAGCAAAAATATATGGCTGCAGCAACTCTTCTTCCTCTTGCTGCTGCTGCTGCTGCTGCTGCAGGGTAAGCAGCTGCTGCTGCAGCTGCAGCATAAATCTATGCAGCTCGAACGGCTGGAGACACAGAACAGCAGCAACAAGAAAAGCAGAAAGTGCGGCAACACCGACAAAAGCAGCAACAGCAGCAGCAGCAACAGGAACAGCAGCTCCACTAAGCACCAGCAAGAGCAAACAGCAACAGCAGTAGCAAGAGTCACAACAGCAGCAAGAACAACAGCACACACTAAAGCACTAAAGAAAGCAGCAGCAGCAGCAGCAGCAACAAGAGCAGCAGCAGCAGCAGCAGCAGCTAACCGCGAATAGGTCAACTTTAGTGAGTACAATTAAGAATTTTTTTTTCTTCTCTAGCAGCAAACGCCACATCTCTATGTCGCGCTTGCGGACACCAGCAGTTGCATCTACTAAACATACAGTTAGCTGCAACCTGCATGCGAAGAGCAGCAGCAGCAGCAGCAGCAGCAAGAGCAGCAAGATTAGCAGCAAGATTAGCAGCAATAGCAGCAAGTGTAGCAGCAAGAGTTGCAGCAGCAACGGCAACAACAATACATTCATTTATCAACATCAGAAGCAAATGCATGCAGCAGCAACAGCAATAACACCACGTGCAGCAACAGCAGCAGCAGCAGCAGCAGCAGTGGCAACGTATGCATGCATTGCAGCAGCAGCAGCAATACCAGAAGGTGCAGCAGCAGCAACAAATGGAGGCAGCAGAAACGCACTGATAGGATCGATCCAAATACTCCTCCACTAAAACAGCCCAATCCTTCTGCACTTCCTGCAGCAGCAGCAGCAGCAGCAGCAGATGCAGCAGAAGCAGCAGGTGCAGCAGCAACACCAGCAACAGCCATGCTGCTGCACCAGCGGCAGCCCCAAGTACAGCAGCGCCTACGATAGTTTTCCTCGTCGCCAGAAAGTGCAGCAGAAGGAGCAACGACCAACCAGCAACCACCACCAGCAGCAACAGCAGCAGGAGCAGCAGCAACTGCAGCAGCAACAGCAGCAAGCTTACTGGTGCCACTCGTGCGAATCCGTAGCCTGGAAGATCAACGAGAGCGAGACGAGAGGACAACTCAAACATAAATAGTTGCCGAGTGCGGCCCTAAAGAACAGGCAGCAGCAGCAGCAGCAGCAGCAGCAGCAGCAGCAGCAGCAACGGCAGCAGCAGCAGCAGCAACGGCAGCAGCAGCAGCAGCAACGGCAGCAGCAGCCGCAGGAATACCAGATGGGGCGCCTTTCATACGTCACAGTGCTTCATCTAAAAACAGCAGCAGCTGGAGCAGCAGCAAACATGCATATTGCAGTAGAAGCAACAGAAGCAGCAGCAGCAGCACCACCAGAAGCAGCAGCAGCAGCAGCAGCAGCAAGGGACTCACAGCAATTCTGCTGGTTCTGGCTACTTCTCTGCCAAAGAGAAGCCCATTAATGAGACTCGACTTGCCGCTGTTTGAATGACCCACAAATGCCACCTGCAGCAGCAGCAGCAGCAGCAGCAGCAGCAGCAGCAGCAGCAGCAACAGCAGCAACAGCAACAGCAAAAAGTAGCAACAACCGCAGCATGAGCAGCAATTGGAATAACGAGCAATCGTGACAGGAAACAGCTGCAGCAGCTGCTGCTTCATATGCCTCCAACAGCACTACAGCGGGTCTGCTGCAACAGCAGCAACTACAGCAACAGCAGCATCTACAGAAGCAGCAGCAGCAGCAGCAGCAGCAGCAGCAGCATACCTGTGGTGTAGGCCTGCGTGGGAGACGATGAATTGTTTGTGCAACAATAACAGGATGGGCAGCAATTGGGAGTCTAAACAAATGACTCGAGGAAGCAGCCTGCAGCAGCAGCAGCAGCAGCAACAGCAGCAGCAGAAGCAGCAGATAGAGAACAAAGCAGATGGAGTGCATGCAGGTGAGACTGGGAGGCCACAGTGACTGCTGCTGCTGCTGCTGCTGCTGCTGCTGCTGCTGCTTCTGGTGCTGCTGCGCTCTGGCGCAAGCCAAACTATAAAACCTAAAGTAAGTGAACTGAGCTGCAAGGCAGCAACAGCAGCAGCAACAACAACAGCAGCAGCAACAGCAGCAGCAGCATGAGTTACTAGCTCGGGGGTCATCCAAGGGGCGTGAATATCTTGTGAAGTATTGTCATCATTAAGAGATATAAATGGACGAGCTAAGAATAGCCCGCATGCTGCTGCTCCTGCTGCTGCTGCTCTTGCTGCTGCTGCTCCTGCTGCTGCTGCTCTTGCTGCTGTTGCTCCTGCACCTGCTGGTGCTGCTGGGGATGATGGTGAGGATGATGAAGCAGCAGCAGCACATGCTGCTGCTGCTGTTGCCAAAGCCCTAACACCCGAGAAGCCTCCTGCGGCATTTGCTGCTTGTCCTGCTGCAGTTGTTGTTGATGGTGCTGCTGTTGCTGCTGCTGCAGTAAGCAGAGAGCGAGCTGCAACAACAGAACCAAGGCAGCAACAGCCCTTGTTCAAAGCATAAGGCAGTCGTGTTGCAGCAGCAGCTGCTGTAGGAGGAGCAGCAGCTGCAGGAGCAGTGTGCTGCGCAGCAGCAGCAGCAGCAGCAACAAGGCGAGCTGCTGCTCCCACGCTAGTCATTCCTCCTGCTGCTGCTGCTAGTTATTGGTTTTATAGGTAGATGTTAAGAAGTTTATATTTAATAAAAAGAATAAATTAAACAAAACATAAATATATATTTTACAATTGTATTTATTTATCTCTTCTTTATAACTCGATTACTGCTGGCGGTGCTGCTGCAGCTGCTGCTGCTCCCGCTCCCGCAGGTGACCCTGTGCTGCTGCAGCGACACACCAGCAACAGCTGCATGCTGGTATTATTATACCAGTAAGCTGCAACAAATTAAAACAATTAAAAAGTATAAAAAAGAAAGAATAACTCTTAGTGGTAGCCTCCCTTTGGTCCTCCTTCTTTGCATGCATGCAGCCCCGCGGTTTGCATGCGCCCTCGATCCTTCCGAGGGTTTAGGGTTTAGGGTTTAGGGTTTAGAGTATATGATTTAGGGTTTAGCGTCTACGGCTTGAGCTCGCTAAGAGCACACTGCCTCTATGTTCCCTACAAAGGGACCCTGCTGCGTGGGGAACGCCGATCACCACACAGCAGCAGCAGTAGCAGCAGCAGGAGAAGCAGCAGGAGCAGCAGCAGAAGCTGCAGTAGCAGAAGCTGATGCAGCACCAGAAGTCTGCGCTGCAGCGGTAGCAGCAGCAACAAACTATTAGGCATGATGCTGCAGCCGTCCTTCCTATAGGGAGCAGCAGCCTTGGATGCGCCGTTCCTGGAGAAGTTGGAGGTAGAGCAGAAGCAACAGCAACAACAACAACAACAGCGGCAACGGCACGCACTGAATCAGCAGCAGCAGCAGCAGCAGCAGGAAATCGAGAATGGAGGCGGAGCGCGCAGCAGCACGACGGTCGGAGCTGCTGCAGCAGCTTCCAGCTGCGTTGCTGCAGCAAGTGCAGCAGCAGCTGCAGCAGGACCCTCTGCTGCTGAAGGTGCTGCAGCGCCGGGGTTGTGACGAGTTTCTAGGGGAAAGGTTTGCGGTATATGGCCACCAGCTGCAGCAGCAACAGCAGCAGCAGCAGCAGCAGGACCTCTCTATGGATCTTGTGTGGTACAGCAGACGGGGCTGCATGCGCCTATGCATCCCTAGGGCCCCCGATTTGCTGCAGCAGGTAATGGAGCATTTTACAGCATGCTATGTGCAGCAGCAGCAGCAACAACAACAGCAGCAGCAACAGCAACAGCAGCAACGGCAGCAGCAGCGGAGCCGGAAGCAGCAGGGCAGGGACCGCTTGAAGGCGCAGCAGCAACAACAAGCCTGCAGCAGCAGCAGCTACAACGGGCACAAGGGGAGACAGATCAGGGCTGCTGCTGCTGCACTTGACCATGGAAGCAGCAGCAGCAGCAGCGGGGGTTGCTGCTGCGGGTGTGGGTGCGTGAGTGCTGCCTGCCCCTTCCCTGAGCTCCACCGGGAGCAGCAGCAGCAGGCGAACCGCAGAGGAAACAGCAGCAGCAGCAGCAACAACAACAACAGCAACAAGAAGTCCCTTGAGGATCTGTGCTGCAGCAACTTGTGTGCTCCTTTGCTGCTGCAGCAAGTTGCTGCTTGCTGCTACTGGCCAAACATGCGCGATGACTTAGAGCGCTTTTTGCGGCAGCGAAAATCCAGCAGCAGCAGCAGCAGCAGCAACAGCAGCAGCAGCAGCAGCAACAGCATGAGTACCTGCAGCAGCCCATGCAGATTGATGCAATCGAGTACTCAAGCAGCACGAACAGAAACAGCAGCAACGACGAGCAGCAGCAGCAGCAGCAGCACGAAGAGAAAATTACAAACAGAAGCAGCAGCAGTATCAGCAGTAGCAGCAGCAACAGCAGCAGAGGCCCCTCCAGCAGCAGCAGCTGCTGCTGCAGAGAACCGGGCCGTCATATCGCGCAGGCGCGACTCTCATCTTAGAGATTTGCTGCTGCACTCAGCAGCTGCAGCAGCAACAGCAACGGCAGCAACAGACTCTGGGGACCTGCATACCCCCAATGGGGACCTAGAGGAGGAGGAGCAGCAGCAGCAGACGCCACAAGCTTCTTCAAGCAGCAGCAGCAACAGCAGCAGCAGCAGCAGCAACGATGATTGGGTACCCCTTCAGGTGTGGGTCCGCCGCAGCACAGCTGAGCTGCTGCATGCACTTCCTGCTGCTGCTGCTGTTGCTTCTATCCCGCTGCTGCCTCTAAAGCTTGAGGGTGAGCTGCTGCTGCTTGATGCTAACAAGGCAGCAGCAGCAGCAGCTGCAGCAGCAGCAGCAGCAGAAACAGCAGAGCAGCACAGAGCAGGGTGGAAGCGCATGGAGCTTCATCTTGCTGCTGCTGCTGCAGAGGTTACGCTGGCTGCTGCAGCAGTTAATGATGCTGCTGCAACTGCTGCAGCGGCGGCAGCAGCAACAGCAGCAGCACCACCGGTGTCGGGAATACCAGGATCTTCTGCTGGTGTTGCTGCTGCTGCTCAAGCAACAGGCGCAGGAGCTCAGCAGCAGCTGCAGTGGGCAGCTGATGCTGCAGTTGCTGCAGCAGCAGCAGCTGCTGCTGCTGCAGTGCAGCAGCCTCCCCCAGGCTTTGAAGATGCTTGGGGGCCTTCGGGATTCTCCCTTTGCAACTGGCTAGCAGCAAGCCAATCGGAAGCAGCAGCAGCAGCAGCTGCAGCAGCAGATCCAGTAGCAGCAGCAGCCGGTGGAGGAGAACAAGCAAGAGGCACTCTGCTGCAGGAAGACGAGCTATCGCTGCACCATGCCGAGCAGCAGCAGCAGCAGCAGTACGAGTGGCAAGTGCAACAGCAAGCGCAACAGCTTATGCATGACCTGCTGCAGCAGCAGCTGTTAGAGATGGAGCAGCAACGGCAGCAGCAGCAGCAGCAGCAGCAGGGCAGCTGGGGATTTCCTGCTGCAGCAGAACTACTACCGTGCTTCCCCCTCGATCCTTCGTCCCCTACTTCTGCTGCTGCATCTGCTTACGCCAGCAGCAGCAGCAGCAGCAGCAGCAGCAGTTTGCTGCCATTTAACAGCTGCTTAGAGCTGCGCCCGCAGCAGATGATGCAGCAGGCGCTGCAAGAGGAGGCGCAGCTCCTGCTGCGGCGGCCAGACTCTCCTCTTGCAGCAGCAGCAGCAGCAGCAGCTGCTGCTGCTGGAGATATCTTGAACTACGCATTCACGGACAGCAGCAGCAGCAGCTCCGCACCACTTGATGCATCCTCGAAGACGCAGCAGCAGCCACAGCAGCAGCAGCAGCAACAGCAGCAAGTCCTCGAGGAAGTTGTTGGGGGTCTGGATGACACTAGCATGTCATCATCAGCAGCAGCAACAACAGCAGCAGCAGCAGCAGCACCGACGACATCGGCCATGACAGACGCCAAAAAGCAGCAGCAGCAGCAGGAGCAGCAGGAGCAGCAGCAGCAGCAGCTATGGGATCCTTGGCGTAGCCGCCGTTCTTTCTTAGCGTTTGCTTTTGATTTAGCAGCAGCAGCAGCAAACATCAGCAGCATCTGCAGCAAACTTTGGTTAGGGTGTATGTACACCCGAGCTAATGCACTTTGTCTTGTCTTCCCCCTAAAGGCACAAAATGTAAGACTAATCCTGCTGCTGCTGCTGCTGGTGGTGTTGCTGCTGCTGTTGCGGCTGCTGCTGTTGTTGCTGCTGTTGCTGCTGCTGCTGTTGTTGCTGCTGCTTTTGCTGCTGATTGAGCCGCCGGGCATGGCTGCTGCGCCTGTTAGTGCTGCTGCTGCAGCCACAACTGCTGTTGCTGCAGCAGCTGCTGAAGTAGGTTGTGGTTGCTGCTGTTGCCCGTGCTGCTGTTGCCCGTGCTGCTGTTGCCCGTGCTGCTGTTGTATGAGTTCTACGCTATCGTTAACTATGCTGTTTGTGCTGCTGTTGCTGCTGCTGCAGGATCAGGGACCCTTCTGTGTCGTGCGCATCTGCGAGGTGGCGGACATCCCGCGGCTGCATGTGTTCATTTGCTGCTGGCTGCAGCAGCTGCTGCTGCAGCAGCAGGTGGTGCAACTGCAGCACCTGCCGCAGCTGCTGAGTCAGCAGCAGGCGTTACCGAAGCACCAGCAGCTGCAGCAAAAGGTGCAGCAGACGCAGCACCTTCCTTCTCCTCTTTCCCTATGCTTACCCGTGAAGGCAAGAGCAAAAGGAGCAGCAGCAGCAAAAGCAGCAGTAGCAGCAAAAGCCGCAGCAGCAGCAAACACAGCAGCAAAAACAGCAGGAGCTGCTGCAAGTGATCAAGAGGTGCCAACACTGTTGTCTGCGGCGGCAGCAGCGGCAGCACCAGCAGCAGCAGCAGCAGCAGCGCTGTTGCAGACGGAGCGTCTGTCTCCCCTTGTCTGGCTGGCCCCTCTACTATACAAGATTGAGGCAACAGCAGCAGCAACAACAACAGAAGCAACAACAGAGCAGCAGCAGCAGCAGCAGCCAACGTTGCTCTATTTGCTTCTTGATTGGTACTCGCCTCTAAGGAAAAGTATCGCAGTGCTGCAGCGCGTGATACCTGCTGCTGGCTACAGCAACAGCAGCAGCAGCAGCAACGACAGCAGCAGCAGCAGCAGCAGCGAGTCGACTCCTTTCTGGGCATTTGTGGGGCCAACGCACGGCCTCTCGGAGGCTGCTGCTGTGCTGCGACCTTCTGTGTGCAGCCGCTGCAGGAGCAGCAGCAGCAGCAACAGCAGCAGCTGCAGCTGCTGCAGCGGTGCAGCAGATGTGGAGCTGGCTCTAGACTTTGTCTTGGGGTCACTAAGATTTGCATGCGCTGCTGCTGCTGCTGCTGGCAGCCGCAACGTTGCCTTGGCTATTACAGATGGTGTTGCTGCTGCTCCTGCTGCTGCTGCTGCTGCATCACCTGCAGCAATAGCAGCGGCAGCAGTAGCAGCTGGTGCACATGCAGCAACGCCCATACCAGCATGGCCTGCATCACCACCAGGGGGCCTAGATGCAGCAGCAGCAGCAGCAGCAGATCCTCGTTTAGGCCTAAGGACACTAGGAAGGGGACTGTCTCCTTTTGTCTCCTCAAGGAGGGCCTCTCGTCTAGGTGTGGCGCTGCTGTGTTACCGTGCTGCTGCTCGTGTTGCAGCAGCAGCAGCAGCAGCAGAAGCAGCAGACGCAAGAGCAGCAGCAGCAAAAGCAGCAATGGAAGCAGCAGAAGACAGACTCTGTCATTGCAGGGGGGCAGTGCAGCGGCTGCATCGATCCGCTCTTGAAGCAGCAGCAGCAGCAGCAGCTGCTGCTGCTTCCGCACCAGATGCTGCAACGCAGGCACGAACGCATGCAGCAACAGCAGGAGTAGCAACAGCAAGGAGTGCTGCTGCTGCTGCTGTGCTGCAGCAGCAGGATGCTGCAGCACAGCGGCTACTTGTCCGTCGTCTGCTGCTGCGAGCCCTCTTGGCTCTTCGTACCTGCTGCAGCGTCCCCCCTACACTGGAGCAGCAGCAACAGCAGCAGTTGGGAGAGTATCTACTGCAGCAGCAGCAGCAAGCGGGTAGTAGGAACGCTCCTGCTGCTGTTGCTGCTGCTACTGCTACTGATAACGGTAGGGGGGGAGCATCGCGGTCTGCTGCTGCTGATGATACCGCTGCTGATTCTGCTGCGGATCCACGGACTGCTGCTGCTCCAGATCCTGGTGCTGCTGCTGCACCTCGTGCAGCAGCAGCAGCAGCAGCAAGTGGATCAGTGCGGGCTCCTGCAGAGTGGACTACGATGGCTTCGGTGTATGAACACCTAGCAGACACATTCCTTCAAGAGCATGCATCTCTAGAGAGGCAGCAGCAGCAGCGGCAGCAGCAGTTGCTGCTGCTACACGAAGGAGACGCAGCAGCAGCAGCAGCTGCTGCTGCTGCTGCTGCTGTTGATCTGGAATTTCTGCAGCTACGTTGCCTGTCGCGTGCAGGCCAGCTGCTGATGGAGGGGCTGCGCTACGCAGCAGCAAGCCGCAGCAGAAGCAGAAGCAGCAGCAGCAACCCAGTTTCTGCTGCTGTTGAAGCTGCGGCAGCAGCATGGGATCATCAGCGGCTGCTGCTGCTGCGCCGCCTCCAGGGGAAGCTGCTGCGGTGCAACATGAGTCTTGCCCAGCTGCATCTCGCGCGGCTGCGTGTTGATGCAGCAGCAGCAGCTGCTGCTCCTGACGCTGCAGGTGCAGCAGCAGCTGCAACTGACGTCGCCACAGTTGCCCGCGTGGCAGCCGCGCAGCTGGAAGACGGCAGCAGCAGCAGCAGCAGCAGCACCAACAGCAACAGCAGCAGCAATGCCCTCTCCCAGTTGGAGGGGGCAGGAAGGGGCCTCCGCCACTTGCTGCTGGCGTCTTGCTTTATCGTGCCCTACGGGATGGATAGCAGCAGCAGCAGCAGTTGCTGCAGCAGCGGCTGCAGCAACAGCAGCAGCTGCTGCTGCTGCGGCCTGGGGACAGGCGAGCGGGCGCTGCTGACGAAGTCGATTTATCTTTCTATAGCGGAAGTATTTGTGGCTCTCGGGCAGGCGCTGCCTAGCTGCTTCCAGCAGCAGCAGCAGCAACAGCAGCAGCAGCAGCAGCAACAGGTAGACCCTGCGGGGGCTGCTGCTGCTGCTGCTGCTGCGCTGTTCAACGCCATCGGCAGAGACCTTGATTCGCTGCCTCCGTGGTGCTCGCCCTTAATCTCTCGCAGCAGCAACTCCACGTGTGCTGCTGCTGCTGCTGCTGGCAGCAGCAGCAGCAGCAGTTGGATGCTGTGGGGGCCCCCGCTGCTTCCCTGCACATCCGCGACGGTGTCGCCAGACAAGGAGAGGCTGCTAAACAACGGCGTAGCATTTTGCCTGCGGGTGCTGCAGCAGCAACAGCAGCAGCAGCAGCAACAGCAACAGCAGCAAGATAGGAGGCACGACGGTGGCAGCCGTAGGCGCCTCAGCACGAGCAACATACCATCAGAGAGAAGACCCAGTCACAGCCACGGGCAGCAGCAACAGCAGCAGCAGCAGCAACAGCAGCAGAAGTTGGTGCTGCTGCAGAGGTGCCTAGACACCCGAGCTAAGCAGCTAATGGCAGCAGCATATGCAGCATTGGGGTGTATGTACACCTCAACAGGAAGACGTACGCGTGCCCTTATACATGCAAAGCAGGTACGTTGTGCTGCTACCAGAAAGCAGTAGCAGCAGCAACAGCAGAGGCAGATTGGTTGCTTGTGTGTCTGTGTCTGCATATTTCCTGCTGCTGCTGCTGTTGTTGCTGTTGCTGCTGCAGGGAGCAGCACTATTTGCTGCAGTTGGCGATGTTGTTAGTGCAGCGCGCATGCAGCTGATGCTTTGCTGCATGAAGCTGCATCCGCTCCTGCTTGCTAGCCAGGAGCAGCAGCAGCAGCAGCAACAGCAGGAGCAGCAGCAGCAGGATGAGTTGAATCCTACTGTAGTAGCAGCTGCTATAGCCGGTGGCAGAGGCCGCTGCGACTCGCAGCAGCAGCTGCTGCTGCAGGAGCAGCAGCAGCTGCTGCAGCGGGAACTTGAATCGCTGGAGTCCTTTGCTGCTAAAGAAGCAGCAGCAGGAGCAGCAGGAGAGAGGACAACGATGGAAGCAGCAGCAGCAGCAAATGATCCAAGGCAGCAGCAATCAGCAGCAGCAGCAGCAGCAGCAGCAGAAGCAGAGGATGTTGCTGACAGCATCCGCTGTTTACTAGCGGCGCTGCATTGGCGTCTAGCAGAGCAGGACCTGCTGCGTGCTGCAGCAGCAGCAGCAGCTGCTGCTGCTGCAGCTGCTGCTGATTTGTTGCCAGCAACAGAGGAGGGTGGACGTGCTGCACCTCGAGAAACAGCAGAGCTTCTAGGTGTCATCTCCTTGCTGCTGCTGCGGCGTAACGCCCGCAGCAGCAGCAGCAGCAGCATGTTGGAGGGAGGTGGCTTCCTCATCGATAGGGCGCTGCTGCAGCAGGCGCTGCAGCATATAGAGAAGGCGCTGCAGCTGTCGGCTCCTGGAGGCAGCAGTCATCAGCAGCAGCTGCAGCAACAGCAGCAGCAGAGGCAGCAGCTGCGTGCTGTTCTGCATGGTCTAGCATCTGCTGCTTTAGCAGCGGCTGTAGGCCTCCCTCTGTGCGAGGATCTGCAGCAGCAGCAGCAGCATCAAGTGCCGCAGCAGCGGAAGCAGCAGCAGCAGCTGCTGCTACAGAAGCAGCATCAAAGACGTCAAGCAGGGCGGCTGCTGCAGCTGCTGCAGCGGCGTCTCGACGAGTCGCTGCAGCAGCTGCGCAGGTGGCTGCTGCTCTGTGGCCAGCCTTTGTTGAAGGTGCAGCAGCAGCAGCAGCAGCAACAGCAACAGTTGCTGCAGCCGCAGCACGGGTGGCTGCTGCAGCTGCTGCAGCGCGCATGCAGCACCTTCGCTGGTTGCTGCTACGCCTTAGGGAGTGTTAGAGCAGCACAAGGCCTTAAGTGCAAGATGAAGCAGCAGCAGCAGCAGCAGCAGCAACAGCAGCAGCAGCAGGAGGAACTTTTAGCTCTTCGAGCTGCAGCAGATGTGGGACTGTTGGTTCCTC